CAGGCTCCCCAATTAAGCGATCTGGTTTTGGCTGTCAGTGTTCGTTTTGACGAAAAGGGTCATGTACAATTAGTTGTCAAGTCAGACTAAAAGAGTAACTGTTCCAAGGTAAAGTTCATTAGAATCAAACAAATCTTGGAATTTTGAATTAGTAAAAGAATATTGTTCTGTCATCAGCGTAATTTCCGTAGTCGACTACACCGCGTTAGATATCAGATAAAATCATTAATCTGTCTAACTTTGCGAAAGTGTATTTAGGTACACTTAGAGAATCACACTTAGGTCGTGTTCCTCGCTGCGGTGGACTATCACGCGCTAGTATTAATAATTTCGTAAAAGACTTTTCATTATATAAATTATAAACGTATTAATCAATATAAACTTTGTAATTGCGATAGCGTTCGAGACGAGAACTGAATAATATAGAATATCGAATTCAATTAATTATATAAAAGCGAAGTTAGCTTCATCCGAAAACAGACTTAGGTACTATCTAATATAAAGTATTACCTAGCGAGAATCATTTAGTTAGATTCATAATTATCTATTACGTATTGCTTAATTTGCCAAGTTCTGTTATTTCTATTATTAATATTATATCAAGTCTATTCTAGTTTCTTTAATCAAACCAGTATACTTTTCATATTTTGTTATTTGTTACTTGTTATTTGTTAAATTCATCATCTTCATTATTTTATTGAATAAACCCTTATTGTTGAAAGATATTGGCCTGTGGATTTCACTCCTTAACCGCACACCACACGAATCCCACAATCTTTATATTTAGTTATTTTCTAAAACGAGTCGTTCAGTTGGTAAAAGCCGCTCTTTACCTTACTAGCGCTAGTAACTATCTGAATCTAGGTTCCAGAGTCGTTACATCTGTATATCTCTGTGCATTTTTTTTTATGGAAGGCCAAGACCAGGTGAGATGACCCAATTACGAGGACACGTTTTCATCGAAGCAGGATTATTTTTAAACAATAAGTGACTCTGATTTAAATTATTTCGACATGCTTTGTGAATTTAAAGTACACATGTGTTAATACATCGAAGTAGTCGTTCTCGCTAATAGCAAATATGCTTTAATTCGATTATCATTTAAAATATAAAAAATTGTTGTTGCGGAACTGTTTGGATCTTCTACAATATCTTAACGAAACTAACGTGTTAAGACTTCCCAATTATCAAGAAGACTAACAGCAAATTTTTGCAAAGCTAACCATTTTGTATTTGATAATTTTTTTAATTTTACACGTTTCTACTTTATATTATTCCTGCAATTCGCACAAGATAGCTGATTTTTTTGCATTGCTAGAAAAATATGTTGGAACTGTATGCAGAGAATTTTACATGATTGTGGTAATTTTGCACAAGCCTCACTCGCGGCGAATGCTGAAAAATACAATAAAAGCCGGTACTTCCTTTTTAAGAGCCGTTTTCATTCCTTTTGCTCATTCCTTTTTGAAAGATTCTACAAAAGAATCTTTAACTCCTATCTTTACGGAAGTATTATCGCAAGCTATTCCAGCAATATTTGACAATTGTATATTTTTATTTTCGAAACATTTTTCAAACGCAAAATATAATTTATCAGCAAAATAATTTGAAGCATTTAAAGGCACTAATTCTAATAACTGGATAATGCATTTTCCACTTTCTAATAATACATATTTTACTAAAATACGAAGCAACTTATCGTTGGCGATAGTTGTGCTTTCATCTACTAAAACCGAAAACTTTTGATTTTTTAATTTTGTCCGAAGTTTATTATTTTCCCGTTTTCCCAAAACATTTCCAATGATTTGCACACGTTTTCTTGATAGTTTACAATTTTTAATCACTTGTGTATCGGGGCAAATACCTTTCAATACAGAAACCATATGACTAGCAATTTCAAAATAACATCATGTTCCGCAAAAAAGCAGCTAATTTTATTTCGGTTCTTTTAATTTTATTAATATAATCATTATCTTTAACAGTGAACTTAGATAATAAAGCAGATGGAGTGATAGTAGGGCTTTTATTAAAATTCTTAATATGCAACTTTGATTAGGAATGTTTAATTAATTCTAATTTACCACGTACAAGTAATCTATTATAAACCGTGCAAAGAGCCTTTTCATTGATCGATAATATTTTATACAATTTTTAAAAATATCCATTATAATCGTACAAAAGGGTCGCCGATAAAGTGACATAATTATAGGGATGTTATACACGCGATTGGGGAAGTAGTCCCACGAGCGGACTGCGTGACGCGGTCACGAAAACCGCCGGGGACATCCGAACGATACCGAGCGAGAAGCGCGCGAGAATTCGACTGACTTTTGTTTCTACCGTTTTTTTTCCCTCTCGGCCATGTCTCGGCGTCATTCTCGATTTATTGCACGCGTTATTAAGATCGATGTTAATAAAGTTATTCGTTAAGAAGTGGTCGTTTTTTATCTCCGCCCAAATACAATAAGGGGCATACGGCAATACGGTCTCACCAAACTCTCTTCTATCACAAACGCACCTAGCGAGGTGCCTGCCGGTCGAGAGATTGCTCTCTTGCTGTTGAGCTTTCATGGATACAGACGCGTTTTTGCATAGGTTGAATATCAATCGCACTTGTAGCAAGCGATCCTTGAATCACGACAAACACCGTATACCGGATGTGCTTCCGAAAGACAAATCTGTGGATCATTGCAGCCCGGAGCTTGTTCCTGCATTGACTGGAAATATATTTTTTACACGCAAGAACGAAAAAAACGACGGCACGCAATAGAGACACGTTGGAGTCGGTGTGGACCTACTTTCAAAATTAAATTTTCGATATCATACTCTATAATATAAAATCGTAACGTAACGCGTAACGCGTAACGCTGTCACGCGAATCGCTACCCCCTCTACTCCACAGTCCAAGGTCCACTCACCATGTCATTTTAGAAATGTATTCGCACGAAATAGGCGCGAAGCGCCTCGGGGGGTTGGGCCGTGAAGCGGCCAGGGGGCACCGCTCCCTAGACCATGTCATTTTAGAAATGTATTCGCACGAAATAGGCGCGAAGCGCCTCGGGGGGTTGGGCCGTGAAGCGGCCAGGGGGCACCGCCCCCTAGTAACAATATAACTTCGACAGCAAACGATTACGTAATCGTCCGGGAATTCGAGATCACGCAGCGTTCTGCGAAAAGGAAATATTATATTTCAAACCGCATGTTTATTCGACAATAGTCGATTCTCGGTCCGTTAAGAACGCGTGTTTTTGTATGTTGTTTGTTTAATTCCGTTTATATTCAAGAAATCGAGTCCCCTTTTTCTTTCTTCTATTTGTTCTTATATACTATTTCGCAATAAATTGAATAAATACAGTTACGTCGATTTATACCATACTTAACCATTTATTTTGAAATACTTTCCTTTCCGATTTTCTTCCCGTAAATCTCATCTGGATGGAACTTTACCAGCCGTCCTGGATGAAGAATCATAACCGCTACTGCAGTAGGATCTTTTTCTTCAGGAATCATACCGTCAATGACATCATCTCTTTCAATTGCTAATTATCTTCCTGCTTTAGCACTAACGTGCATTTATTTCTCCGTAACGGCAGCTGAAGCTTAGAACACGTATAATCTCTTCTAATAGTAACCAATCTCTAATAATTAGACACCTTTTACAAGTGCTTTTCGATATAATCGTACTTACCTAATGAAGCGGATCCACAGGAGCATTAGAATACTTAAAAAGTAAAAAAAAGGATCATTAAAAAACTGAAAGAAAAAGTTAGAACGAGAATAGACGCAGAAGGTGTAGACGCAAAAACTCTACAGTTAACAATTTAGCTGATATACCTTCAAATATATGCGATAAGTAGGGATTGCAATATCGGACCAAAAGTTCAATACCGGTATTCGATATTTTCTATATCTTAATACTGGAATACCGGTTTTAATACCGTTAATAGGAATTGTAGAAAAAGAAAGGAAGAAAGTACAGGTGTTTCTTTGTTTCGTTTGCCAGTTTTATTGGAGAGAGTAAATATCATAAAAAATCATTTGTAACTTATAAATTATTACAGTATATAAAGAATCACAAGAAGTAAAGGAACAAGGAACATCTTATGTATTTAAATCACAAAAAAGGGTAAATATCACTATTCAGTCTGTGGTACTAGTACAAATTTTTGTCATCTTAAAAAACATAATGCATCAATTGTATTGTCATTAAGCCTGGAACGTAATTTTGTGCAAAAATTACCAGCTATCGAACACGCTCTTTCAGCATCTATGTTACTGGGTGGTACTGTTAACAATGCGCGATATACTTTTTCCAAGTATTTACCTCTAAATCCCTCATCTTCAAATAAATTGATTTCTCGTTGGATGGTTTTGAATATAACTGATTTTTGTATTGTATTTTGGTTTGTTGAAATTTTCTTAGTTATTGCTAATTCTAATTTTTGTTCAAGAGACAATTCCTTTTCACTATTGACATTAGTGTCATCATCATCTTCGATAACTGTACTGTATTCTTCTGAACGGGGATAGGTTTGTAGGTAAAAAATTTTGTACGGTCGAAACTCTTCAACATGAAGAATTCCAATTTTATTCGATTAGTGAAGGAATCACTACGTTATTAAATTTCAAAGGACTGGACGATAGAGTAAGGATGCGGTTGGTTAAATGAAAACTCTGGATTATGATGAGTTGAACTGATTGTTTATTCGAGTTATCGAGCAAGGGAAAAAGCCCGAAGGCATAAAAACCCTTGACGTTAATTGATGAAGGGAAAAAGCCCGAAGGCATAAAAACCCTTGACGTTAATTGATGAAGGGAAAAAGCCCGAAGGCATAAAAACCCTTGACGTTAATTGATGAAGGGAAAAAGCCCGAAGGCATAAAAACCCTTGACGTTAATTGATGAAGGGAAAAAGCCCGAAGGCATAAAAACCCTTGACGTTAATTGATGAAGGGAAAAAGCCCGAAGGCATAAAAACCCTTGACGTTAATTGATGAAGGGAAAAAGCCCGAAGGCATAAAAACCCTTGACGTTAATTGATGAAGGGAAAAAGCCCGAAGGCATAAAAACCCTTGACGTTAATTGATGAAGGGAAAAAGCCCGAAGGCATAAAAACCCTTGACGTTAATTGATGAAGGGAAAAAGCCCGAAGGCATAAAAAACCCTTGAATTTGAGAATACATACTTAAAGTCGTATGATTGAGGCATGTGTGAGTGTGTCGCGTTTGATGATATAATGTGTACACAAAGGTTGGGCGCCCGTCAGCGATCAGTTCATCGCGTGACACCGGGTTTTTTGGGAAACAGTTCCCTTTGGTGATTTTGAATCGCGATCGTGCGGAAACCAGGTTCCGTTGGAGTCTCCAGCTTGGGGAGACGTCCAGACGTCGTCGTAAACGATGTCTATTGTGTTTGTTGCCGGCAGGGCCCCGCGAGTAGTAGTAACGCGAACCGCGGATCATCGTCGTCGCGAGAAAAAATATAGAAACTTTTATCACCCGGTACACGGCGAGATTGCTCGACCGATCGCGACCGTAGACCCGTAGCGACTGTCTTTTTCTGTTACTGAGGCAAGGACATCGCGTTCCTTTCCTCCGAGCGTTTCGATGTTGTTTTTCCGGCGGTTTCGATTTTACTCTCCGACAAATTTTAAGAAAATTTACTATAAATTTGATTAAATTTGAATTGGTTAGTCTCTTTTCTTCTTTTTTATTTTCATTTTTAAAATCATTATAACTATGTAAATATCGTAAGACATTTTCTATTTCGGTATACAGTTACTCGATTTAATATTCGGACACTATGGTATTTGCGAAATTAATTTATAATGTGATTATCGAATTTTCTTGCAATGTGATTATCGAATTTTCTAATCTGTAATGAGTTAGAGCACATATTCTACTTTACAAATATGTAAAATTAAATACTTTATTTTTTATTGTTTTCCATATAATAAATTATAAACGAAATTAGACCCAATATTGACGTCGAAAAAATATTCGGACACTTAATATTACATAAAGTTTTTTCTTATTTAGAGTGTATGTAACAACAAAGTTATAATTTTAATATTAATTTAATATTTTTTGTTAGCATGTTTGAAATTATTTTATTTAAATGATTTTGAGTAATGCGTTTCCACTCTTCCGTCAGTCGCATTTTTTAATTCGTCTTTTGTTTCTATAGGGGTGGTCTTAACATTACGATCCAATAAGTCCCATAGATTTTCAATTGGACTTAAATCCGGTGATTGTGATGGAGGATGGAGCACTTTCGGACAAGTATATAATAAATATTCCTGAACTATTCTCGATTTGTGTTTCGGATCGTTATCCCGGTAGAACTTAAAACTGTCGTGTATACCCATATCATTGCACTTTTTAATAAATTTTTTATTAATATATCTCAATGTTTGTTCTTGTCCATAATACCTTTAATAAAAACCAGCCCCCCTACTCCAGCACTAAAAATGCAGCCCCATACCATCAAGCCTTCACCACCGTATTTCATCGTCGATCTTATATTACTTATTTTTAATTGTTCATTCCGTACAAAATCTTTTTCAACAAATCTTCATTGTCAGTATCACTCTCACTCTCACTCTCTTCAAAGTCGGAGTCAGAAGTTTCTATATCCACAGTATTTGGTTTCTTCTGTTGTTTATTTTTCAACTTTCCAACTTTTTTCATAACCGTTACTCCATCAGTCGTTATGGATACAATATCTTCTTTCATGGATAATGCATGTTTTCCTAATTTAGATTTAAGCACTTCTACACATTTTTCAGCTGGCATACTTCCCAGTACATGTGTAAGTTCTACATTTCAAAATTTTTTTCTGAATGAAAATTTATATTTAAATAGTGTCTATTCCACCATTTTAAAGTTTAATTTTTTCACCATTTACTTTTAATTGTATTAACTCGTGTTTGACAGAATTGCGAACAGCGTTACTGTAGTTTATAACAGTTCTTCTTACTGTGTTAATCGATGTTGGTAAATTTTTAACCGACTTCGAAAAAGGAGGAGGTTACTCAATTCGACCAGTAATTTTTTTTTTTTTTTTTTTTTTTTTCTATGTATGTTCGCCGATTACGCCTAACTGGGTGGACCGATCGGAATGAAACCTTTTGCATATGGAAGGTGCTGACTCCCCATTGGTACCATAATCAAAAAATTTTTCATTTTTTAATTGCAATGTGTTGTTATTGCAGAAAAACCGGCAACTTTTAAAATAAACTTTTCTCGATTTTAGTGCGCTTTCAATATCTTATCGCGGACATGATTCTGTACAATTTTGTTCATATACAAATTTCGCGGAAATGTTTAGTTTTCGAGATATTAGCGAAAAAAATTGTTATTAACTTTTGAAATCAACTTCGAACGATTTTAATGTCCTTT